TATAATAGTGTGTGTGTGTGTGTGTGTGTGTGTGTGTGTGTGTGTGTGTGTGTGTGTGTGTGTGTGTGTATTAGGAATATAAAATATTTTTAATATATTCTTGATATATTATTTTTTTAACATACATATATTTAAAGTTTTATATTTGTAAGTTAATATTTTATATATATCTATATATATATTTGTATATATATTTGAAATATATTTTTTTTTTTAAATTCAATTCCGGCAGCGAAATCTCGCGAAACTATTTTTGATCGCTACAGATAAGATCGAATCAATTGCGTAATTGTATTACATGCTCGAAATGATACGTTTCATTCGTGGTTTGGATACAAGATGCTATGGTATGAGACAAGCTCTCTCTCCTAAACCTAATCACTCTCAATCTAAGCACACATACATCAATATGTAACAGCGATGCTGGGAACAGCGCTCAGGTCGCATATCCTATTCTCTAGAGACACACTTGCTTGCGCGTATATACATTCTACTCACACACTGCGCCATAATGAATGTTGGCACAAAATGTGCGATTAATTTCCCGCATTTGCATCTTCAGTTATATTAACCATGTAATCGCTAAATGAATATGGTAACTCATAACATTATTACGTCTACATCATTGAAACACTTGTTATGTCTCTATTTTGACCGATTTTGAGACCATGATATAATCTATGAAGGAAATTGTATTTTGAATGAAAAAGCACCCGTAGCATCGCTTTTAATACAACTACTCGCTTTTAATATACTTTACATTACGATATATTTATAAAAAATGAAAAGGCTTGCCCTATATCATTATGCGATTATGATGAGAAATGCTTTCGGGCCAAATCACGCGTGCGTGACCAATTCAAGATGCACGTGCCTCAAAGATTGCTGAAAAATTCACGGTTCTCAAGTGCCGCCGAGGCATCCTGTCCTGTAAACATTCGTGCCGAAGTAACGCGCGCGATTTCCTCGATAGCTCGCAAAGTGAAGGGGGCGAGGCTGCACGACAGGGGAGCTAAAAAGCTCGGCGAATGGGGCCAAGGAATGCGCACCGTGAAGAAGATACGAAACGAGAAAAGCCAAGAGAAGTCGGTTGTGAGTCGGAGGGACTCTGCCTGTTCGCGTTAGTTGACGAGACGGGTCGTGTCGTTTCACCCTTTTCGTCGTCCGTGACGTCGGAAATTGGGGGCCTCCTCGGATGGTGTCCCGACGCGCTAGGCGCCCTCCTCCCCGGTTTAGACGCCGGTTTACGAATCCGGGGGATGACGGAGAGGATAGGACGGGACCAGGCGGAGGAGAAAGAGAGGGGAACGAGGGGCTACGTGACGATAAAATTGAGATGCACCGGTGAGGGGATGCGAGAGAGATAGAGCACATAGCACATGGCATGACGCCGCGAGCGAGGGAGGGAGCGCGCGAGAGAACGGGGTGAAACGAAATGTGCAAATAAAGCCAATATGCACGCGGATCTCCAGCGAGGCGGGCAACGATATTTCCACGAATTCCTAGAAATCGCTGGAAATTAACTTTCCTCCTCTTTCACGGGGAAACGGATTCGCCGCCTATCCCCCCCCCCTTCCCCCTCCCCCCTCCCCCTCTTCTCCCCCGTGATCTCTTTCCTCGCCTCCTCCCTTGTGTGAGATCGCTCACGCCGGATCTCCTGATACCGCTTACCGCCCATTACGCGCTGATGCGGCGTGAAAATGCACCGTGCATACCGTGCGTGGCGTATCGGCGCATCGCTGTCACGAGCGTGTTTTTGCCAGACCCGTGCTTGTACGGGGTCCTGTGGAGAAACGTGGTAGATTTTTAAAATCGAATTTTCCGAGGATGGATTTTCGCCCGGGACGGGACGGATATATTGCCACTTACATCCCCGACCTGTCGGGGATCCGTCAAAAAAACGACGGCAAAATACGTACGGATGATCGAACAACGAAAAGATTTATCAGAAACTGAGAACTTTCGTTTCCTGCTTCCTTTTTCTTTATTTTGCTAAAAAAATTGTATTATAATTAAACCGATAATCCCTTAATTACACTTTAAAGTTTTGACCAGGCTCGTATCTTATCGTCGTGCCGCGAGACGCTTCTTGCGCGCGTTCTTCTTACGAAACAAAAACATGCCTCGTGCGTGATTAAAACCGTCGACCGTTTTGCTGGAATTACACATATACAAGCATTTGTCGTACGAAGGGGGGGGGTGGACCTTTTTCTGTCCGTGACCATTTCTCGGGAACTAGTGCCGGGTTGCTAATGTGGTTACGTTCTTTTTCTAGTCGTGCACCTCCCCGTTGATAAAATGGAGAAAATAAAGAAGAATAAGAGCGGTACGCTGGAGAATCGTCCGTCTGCGGGAACGGGTGATCTCTCACCGTGCGGTAGGCAATAATTCTTTCCTATAGCATCCATACTCGGTACGTGTATGGAGAAATATAGTTTCGTCGCGCAACATGGTCGAATAAATATCCAGCATACAAATTTCAAAGGATTAGAATATAAGATACGACAACGTAGTACGCAATTGTTTAATTCCTTGTGCACGCATTCACGTGCTACATCATCGGCACCATCATTACGTTTCTCCTCTTTATTTAAATACATTTTTAATCGACGAGGTGTATTCGCTCGCTTAATGCGATCTTTTTAATTTTTAATTATTAATTTACATTTATGGCATAAAAATGAAAACGCTGTTTTTCGGGGGAAAATTAAATTCATCGGGATGCTTTATTTTTCGACGTTGAATACCTCCGAGCAATTTTTCGCTACAGGAAAATCGCGTGGGGAAAACATGTGAAATATAAGACTCCACGACTCCCCGTTTCCCGTATACCTTCCGTAATGAAATCATTTGAAAAAAATTAAGATTAAACGGGGGCCGCTCCTGGCGAGCGTCATCCGAGTAACGATTATTCTCCCGCTAAAGTTAAACTCGTGCGATAATCTTAAATTTTTAAGACGCGACATCTCTTCAGGAATTATTCTCCGTGTTGCCCGAACTGGCTATAACGCTATAACGTAAGATAATGAATATTCCCTTCGCTGTGCTCCCTATTCCGTCCCCCGGGAGCATTCTTCTCGCCGAAGAGAAACTGGACACGTTGGTATCGAATTCTCAAGCTCGTCGGAAAACACGGTCCGTACAAAAGGGGATTTCGACAATGACTCTATCTTCCTTTCCAGGTAGCATAAGTTCTTTGGCGAGCACGTGGGGACGGCCGATGTCATTTTAGATAAGTGAACCGTTCCTTTTCGGCTCGCTCGTTTCAGAGGAAGCACAACTAAAAGGTTCTCCTTGGCCGACGTTCCCGTGTATAGAAGAAAATAAAGCGAAACGAGATGTAGGGATTTTGAATGACTCGCACGTTGCATTAATAAACGCATGGAACGATCACGCGCGAATAAAAATTAACTTCTGACTCTTCTACTGTTACGCAAAATTATAATGCATATAATTGTTATTGCTCGCTATCATTACATAGAATTCTTTTTTATAGAAAGATATTTAAACGATAATAGCGGGCATATAACAATTATGCACCATAATTTTGCATAATTATATTTGAGATAAACATTTAATTAAACAGGAGTTTTTTACTTGTTACTGAAAAAAATTGATAATTATATATTTAGTGCTTAAAAAGGAATCTTTTTTCTTCTTTATAATGACGCTAATAAAAATAACGAGAAGAATATAATGAAATAGCGGTAAAATAATCCTGGATTTATCAATTTTTTCATTCCCAAGAGAGGAGATTCGTTGGAAAAACAATTCCATTTATGCTTGAACGATCCTCATACATCATCTTGCAACCATATTAAATTTGTTTTCGCTGGAAAAGCACGAGCAGAATGACTTGATTATTTATGCCTACTTTCCGGAGCGGACTGTGAACTTTTAACGAAAGCGCCGAGGAGAGTAGATGGACGAGGCTTTATATCGGTGGATGGCTCGCACTCGGGACAAGGACAGTATGGCAAAGAGATATCGATTGGACGTTCTTTCACCGTCCAGTGACTTTGGGGGAGGGAAGTTTTGAAAACCACTAGCGGCGAAGCGAATTTTTCTTCCCGTTTTAGTCGAATCATCCTGAAAAACTTTTCATCCAAAGTTTTCCGACGGCTGGAGCGCGCGCATTCCGTCTCGCTTCACGTTGAGCGACTTTGAAAGGAGAGACAGCCGCCTTTGGACCGACATCAAAGAGTATTTGGATTCTCGCAATTTCTTCGAATTTGTGTGCGCCGAGAAGTACGACAAGCGTGCTAGTTTTGTTACGAATAAGCACAAAGTGTATTGAAATACTCGGTAAAACACATTGTTTGACATGTGGGATTCTTGGACTTTAAGATCGCCAATATTTCGCGCAAGAATTGCTTTACATTACGTATAT